GCTCCCACGTCAGTTCTTGGAATCACATAGTCTAAGCTGACGCACCAATGCAGCGCTGGGGTGTGTGTTTCATTATCGGAGATGCCGTCCTTCAGTCGGGACGTGAAACTGAGATCCCATCCCTGTTCAGGTTGTCGTTAATGATCGCGCAGAACTATTCGAAAAGAGAAGGGAGTTACTCTCTCCCAGTGTCCTGACCAACAATCAGCCGAATAAAATTAATAATATATAAGTCTTCCATTTGATACAGCGCCTTATCATTTCCTCGAGATGTCTCAAAGCGCTTCACAGAATATACTGTAAAGTGAATTGACTGTACATTTGTGGGAGAAACGTGGCAACCAATTGCGCACAGCAGCGTCCCACAAACAGTCGTGGTGATCGATTTATTATTGTTCTTTTTCTTGTTGGATTATTATCAGGTGTGTGGAGTAAGGAAACTTGCCCAAAGTTTTGCCCTGCCCGGCCAGGAATCGAACCCAGGTCCTCTCGCTTGCCAGGCGAGTGCTGTAGCCACTGAGCTACAGGACGCCAGTGATTGGTCACTGATTTCATGGCGGTTTGTGGGACATTGCTGTGCGTTACTGGCTCTGCTGTAGTTTTCATACTTCAGGCAGAGCCGACGATTGATGGACAATCTATGGTTCTCCACTGGTGCGTTGGGTTCAAAAGTAGAACCCCCCCCTCCCCTCCCCAGGGATCAGGGAGGGGTAACTGCTACATTGTTGAATGTGACCTTAAACTGAGGTCCCATCTGTACCTGTTCAGGTGGACTTTAAAGGTCTCGCGACACTATTGGAAAAGGGAGTTTCTCCCTCTCTCCCGCTGTCCTGGCCAACAAATAAATTTGGTCACTTACTTCATGGCTGTTTGTGGGACAGTCACAGTCACTAAAGTCACTAAAATACAGTATATCCCGATAGGTTTGCTTTGAGACGTTCTCCTGAAATGAAAGGTGCTATATCAAATGCAAGGATTATTATTGTTATTATTTTTCACAAAGGAGCAGGAGGAGGCCATTCAGCCCATGGACTCTGTTCCTCCAGTTTACAGCATAGAAGGAGGCCATTTGGCCCATCGTGGAATATGACTAGTCTTTTGGTCCCGTTTCCCAGTCTGGAGTGGGAGTGATGAGCCATGTGACTTACTTCCAGTCTCCTAACCCCTCAACTCCATGATCATACTTTCAGCCACTAATTACCCACTGAGCCTCTGCCTCAGTCCCTCCACCTTGTCCCCTCTTTCCCTATCTTCCAATTATATCTGAAGACTTCCTCTTCAACCATGTCTTCGGTCACCTCCCCTCTCTCCCCGGCTCGGTCAGGCTCCGCCACTGTTAATCGCTCCGAGATGCTATCTTGTGTGACCCGCGATGATGTGAATGACCAATTTTATAAGCCAGGACACCGCAGAGAAACTGCTTCTCTTTTCAAATAGTGCCGCTTGACCTTCAACCAGAACAGGCACAGACGAGAGGGGGGGGGGGAGCGTGGGCAGTGTTCGGTTTAATGTCTCATCCGAAGGACAGCACCTCCGACAATGAGCCACCCCCCTCCATCAGTCAGCTGTGTGACCTCCCAAGTCCCGACATGAGGGCTTGAACCCTCAGCCATGCAGTTGACACAGTCAGCTGAGCAAAGTCGCATCAGAGACAACAGGCGCCAGGCTGTCAGACAGGGAGAGTCTGCAGTGCTATTTTTGTGTGGGGATCGGGTGGTGTGCGGGGAAGGAAGAGGGAACATATGTTGGCTGTGATGTGACCGTAGTTATTGAATTAATGTCTTGCACCTCACCGGCTGATAGCAGCGATTCCTCGAAAAAAGAACAAACTGAGTCGTCATTTACTGGGAAGAGCAAGAGAACGAGCAGAGATTCTGAGTGCGGAGACTTCAGTTGTTCTGATAATAATAATCTCATACAGCGCTTATCACGCCATTGAGACGTCTCAAAGCGCTTCATAGAATATAACAACAACTTGCATTTACATAGCGCCCTCACACAGATAACGTCTCAGAGCGCTTATACTGTAAAGAGGATTGACTGTGTGTACTTTGCGAGTGAAACATGACAGCCATTTGCGAGCAACAATGTCCCACAAACAGTCGTGGATTGAGTGATTATCATTATTTATTTATTTGAGGGGATTATTACTTCTGGCGATCCGCCAATCGAATAACAAGCGGGTTCCTACTCACTGCCGGGTAAACAGAGGCGTGTGTGTGGAGTAAGGATACTCACCTAAGCTTTCGACCTGCCCAGGAATCAAACTCGGGACCCTTCGCTTGTGAGGCGAGTGCACTAACCACTAACGCTATGGGACTCCAAACGAATGGCTACTGTCTGCACTGTAAATTTCTATAAATATCGGAAAAACCTGTCTAACAGCCAAATGGTTTCTTTGTGTTGTTGGCAGATCTTCCAGGAAAAGGACGTTTCTAATTATTCCTCTCAGCTGATCGTCAGCACGCCAGACAAAGCTGAAATGTCAGCACCTCTTTGACGGATCACTGAACATGAGAAAAAAACACACTATTTCACATTTCCTGAGTAAATAATAGTAAGAACTGAATTATAATAATAATAATAATCCTTGCATTCTAGTTAGTGCATTATCACAATATCCAGACATCTCGAAATGCTCCACCGGCTTTGATTTGGGTTTTGTAGAGAGATTGTATATTGTCAGTGGACGCGACAGCCAATTTGCACACAGCAGCATCCCCACAAACAGCCACGGTGTGAATGACCAATTGTTTACCTGGAGGATTGTCGGCCAGGTCACCAGGAGAGAGGAACTCCCTTCTCTTTCTCGAATAGCCCCGAGGGTTCTTTAAGGTTATAAGAACATAAGAACGTGAGAATTGCCAGACGAAAGAGGACCGAGGTCCATCCAGTTGGCCTTCCACCATCCTGGCAATCGCTTGACATGTCATGTCCCAAACTATCCCTGAACTATCCACCTGAACCGGGATGGACAAGACCTTGGGTTAATGTCTCGTCTGAAAGACGGCACCTCTGACAATGCAGTGCGCTCCCAGCACTACATTGTAGCATCAGCTTATTGTCTTGATGTGGGGCTTGAACCCACAGGCCTTTGACTCAGAGGCAAGAGCGCTACTGACTGAGCCAGGCCGACATTTTCCTGCAGGAAGTCCTGCGGTGCTAACCAAAAAAAAAAGGCAATTTCGCTCTCCCAGTGTCCTGGCCAACAATCCCCCACTCATTTGCTTCACGGCTGTTAGTGGGGACTTTGCTGTTCACAAATCAGCTGACGTGTTTGTCTACACAATACACACATACTACAATTCAATGAAAACCTGTGGGGCTTTGAGATGTTGCAAGGATTATTTTGTGATCAGCAATCAGCTGTGAGTGTTAAGTAATCCGAGACCCTGCTCTGTGTGAAGGCCGCTATATAAATGCAAGTTTTTTTGTTGTTGTGGGTATGTGAGTGCAAGTATGTGTGTGTATGTTCATGTGTGTGTGTGTGCATGTGTGTGAGTTCATAGAATAATACAGCACAAAAGGAAGCCATTCGGACCATTATGTCTGTGCCGGCACTTTGAAAACAGATATCCAACTCAATTTCATTCCCCCCCTCTCTCCCCATAGCCCTGATAAACCCCACTCCCCCCGCTCTCTCCCCATAGCCCTGATCAACCCCACTCCCCCCCTCTCTCCCATAGCCCTGATCAACCCCACTCCCCCGCTCTCTCCCCATAGCCCTGATCAACCCCACTCCCCGCTCTCTCCCCATAGCCCTGATCAACCCCACTCCCCCGCTCTCTCCCCATAGCCCTGATCAACCCCCCTCTCTCCCCATAGCCCTGATCAACCCCCCGCTCTCTCCCATAGCCCTGATCAACCCCACTCCCCCGCTCTCTCCCCATAGCCCTGATCAACCCCACTCTCTCCACATAGCCCTGATCAACCCCACTCCCCCCTCTCTCCCATAGCCCTGATCAACCCACTCCCCCACTCTCTCCCCATAGCCCTGATCAACCCCACTCCCCCACTCTCTCCCCATAGCCCTGATCAACCCCACTCCCCCGCTCTCTCCCCATAGCCCTGATCAACCCCTCTCCCCCCATGCTCTCCTCATAGCCCTGATCAACCCCACTCCCCACTCTCTCCCATAGCCCTGATCAACCCCACTACCCCGCTCTCTCCCCATAGCCCTGATCAACCCCTCTCCCCCCATGCTCTCCTCATAGCCCTGCAAACTCGTCTTCTCCAAATAGCAATTTACTTAAAAATTGTTATTGAATCGGTTCCCACCGGCCTTTCAGGCAATGCATTTCAGATCCAAAAACTTGCTGCGTGAAAAAAATTCTCCTCACCTGTTTTATCAACTATTTTAAATTGGTGCCCTCGGGTTACCAACCCACCCACCAGTGGAAACAGTTTCTCCTGTTCACCCTATCGAATCCCCTCATAAGTTTGAAAACTTCTTTTAAATCTCCTCTTAACCTTCTCTGCTCCAAAGAGAATAATCCTCGCTTCTCTGCCTCTCCTGATAACTGAAGTCCCTTATTCCTGGTACCATTCTGGTCAATCTCCTTTACACCCTCTCCAATGCCTTGACGTCCTTCCTAAAATGTGATGCCGAGGACTGAACCCAGTCTCTCGCTGAGGCCTAATCCACCTTTAATAAAACCTCTATCTACCTGTCCGGCCACCTTCAAAGATTTACTGTATGAACCCCCAGGTTTCTCTGTTCCTTCACTCCCTTTAAGATTGTACCATCAGTTTATACTGCCTCAACTCATCTTCCTCCCAAAATATGGGAATATACTTTGCATTTCTCCACATTAAATTTCATCTGCCACGTGTCCGCCCATCTTACCAGTCTGTCTATGTCGTGTTGCAGTCTGTTACTATCCTCCTCACTATTTACTACATTCTGAGGTTTTTTGTGTGTGTGTGAGTGCACGTGTGTGTGAACTCTTATTGAAATCTGAATGTCTCTTGACAGGTCCGCAGGGAAGAGCGGGCGTGAGATGGGCAGTATGGCGTTGCTCTCCATGGTGCTGATCGTGTCTCTCAGCCTCCCAGGACCGGTGCTCTCCTGTCCTCAGCTCTGTGCCTGCTATTTCCCCACCGAGGTTCACTGCACTTTCAGATCTCTCACCACTGTGCCTGTCGGCATATCAAAACATGTGGAAAGAATCAATCTGGGGTTCGTATCTGCCTGGTGGTCTCATATCTAAAGGGGAGGATGAGAGTGAGAGTGAGAGAGAGAGAGGGAGGGGTGAGGGAGCAAGAGAGGAGGGGTGGGGGAGCCCAATAATTACCATCCTATATAATTGCCAAACATGTTTTCATTCACGCGGAACTTATGCTTAGAGGCCGTATGGCAACAATTTGACTATTTTTTTGTTTGAAGAGATTTTCTTTTGAAGAGGGAATGAGATCCATCTCTCTGCCGGATGCAATATCTCGTTCGAAGGCCTGGAATCGGTTGCCTTAAAATGAACGATTCTGACATGTTAATACCTCGATAAAAATTCTTCGATCCAGATTTAAATTGGGAGCCCGTTTCATGCGCAGAACATAAAGTGGTGCTGCCTTTTTTTAAGGGGTTCAGCTGGGCGTCTGACACACATGGAGACCCATCAGTGAGATTAAGAGTATGTGAACCAGACTGAGAGTTCCACATGTGTGCACACCCAACACATGGGAATTTCTCTGTATCTGGAATGGAACATTCTCTCTCTCTTTCTCTCTCTCTCTCTCTCTCTCTCTCTCGCTGCAGGACACGGTCCGCTTAACTAATTCTGGAGAGTATTATAATTATGATAATCCTCTCAATTGATATAGCGCTTTAGCACATTATCAACATGGCTGAAAGTACTTTGCAGAAAATACTTTAAGCGTAGTGACTGTGTATTTTGCGGTCTGTATATTATATTTACGCCTGTGGTCACAAGCCTGTCTGACTCTCCCGTTCTCCTGCAGCTTTAACAGCATACAGTCTGTGAGTGAGACGTCGTTCTCAGGACTGGATAAGCTGGAGCTCCTCATGCTGCACGGCAACGATATCCAGATGATCCCCGATCGAGCCTTCCGTGATCTGCACTCACTGCAGGTAAGCACTCCGTACAGGCAAGTTGTCGTTGTCATTGTAAAACATCACAGAGTGACAGCGAGCGAGAGGACCCGGGTTCGATTCCTGAACAGGGTGAAACGTTAAGCAAGTTTCCTTACTCCACACACACGCCCCTGTTTATCTAGCAGTAAGTAGTCGATTGGCGGATTGCTTTCTGGGGTAATAATCCCTCCAAAAATATTGTGGTCACTCAATCCGTGACTATTTGTTGTGACACTACCGGGCCGAATTGGCTGCTGCGTTTCGCCCACAAAATACACAGTTGATCCACTCTACAGTGTATTCCGTGAAACGCTTTGAAATGTCTCAACAATGCTTTGCATTTATGTAGGGCTTCAAAGTGCTTCGCAGGATTTTACTATGAAGTGTATTAACTGTGTGTTTTGCGGGTGCAGCCAATTTGCACACAGCAACATCCCTCGCAATCAGCCACAAAGTGAACGGCCGATCATATCAACGGGAGATTGTCAACCTGGACACCAAGAGAGAGAAACCACCCTATCTTTGTGAATAGTGCTGAGAAATCTTTAACATCTACATCCAGTGCACGTCCGACAACAATTTCCACCACCACCCCGCCCCCGACCACCGCCCCCAGCGCTGCATTGGAGCCAAGATTATGTGAGTTCAAAGTGCTGACATGGGGGGCTTGAATTGAGCTGCTTATGGTAATTATCATTCAAAAGGTTCTTTCAAGAACCACAGACTAAATAAATTTCCCCCTCCCCTCTCATCCTTCCATCTTGAAAGGTTGCCTTATAATTAACTTAGATTCTTCAATCCAGACTTAGCGTGGAAGCCTGTTTTATGCACATGCTCAAAGTCTGTGTTTTTCTGGTTGAGAGGGAGTGCGCATTCCATTCCACGGGGACGTTTCCCTGCGTAGGCGGCAGACATATGTAAAGCTCTCAGTCTGGTTCGGATACTTTTGAAGCATTTTAATTTAAACATCTTAAAAGATTTTTGGGAACACAGAGGTTTCTCTCTCCCAGTGTCCTGGCCAACAATCCTCGCAAATTAAAATTGTGTGTGTGTCGGAGGCGGGCTAAGTAAACTGCCATCGAACCCAACAGTTGTAATTCCAAACATAGAAACAGGAGCCCATTTATCCCCTCGAGCCTGATTCGCAATTCTATAAGATCATGGCTAATCTGTTCTGGCTCAGTGGGTATCTCTCTCTCTCTCTCTCGCTCGCTCGCTCTCTTGCCTCTGAGTCAGAAGGTTGTGGGTTCAAGCCCCAACGTCAGGTCTAGGAATCACACAGTCTAAGCTGAGGCTCCACGGCAGTGCTGGGGGTTGTTGCATTGTCGGAGGTGCTGTCCTTCTGATGGGACATTAAGCCGAGGTCCCGACTGCCTGTTCAGGTGGATGTTAGCGATCCAGTGGTGCTGTTGGAAAAGAGAGCGGAGTTTATCCCATGTCCTGGTCAACAATCTCCCATTTAAAATTGGTCATTCAAGTGTCAGAAAGCTTTAGGGACCTTCAACCATTACAACCTAATTGTAAATTATAATTTGTTATATCTCAGTAGCAGTTATTGTAAATGCAACACACGGGGAGAAGGGAACAGAAGGTTATCGGCTACGAGTGCTTGCACTGTAACACTCTGTGCACCAATCTATGCATAATACTTACTTTCGAGCCAGTGTCCTGGAGTGGTTGGAGCACTCACTTCGCAAGCGAGAGGATCTGGGTTTGATTCCCGGGCAGGGCGAAACCTTGGGCAAGTTTCCTTTCTCCACACGTCTCTGTTTACAGCAGTGAGTAGGAACCCGGTTATTAGTCAAGTGGCGGATCGCTTTTCTGGGGGTAATAATCCCTTCAACAAAAAAATAATAATTGGCCACAACTCTTTGTGCGACGCTGCAGTGCACAATTGGCTGCCGCGTTTCGCCCACAAAAATATACAGTCAATTCACTTTGCAGTATATTCTGTGAAGCGCTTTGAGACGTCTCGAAGGCGTGAAAAGGCGCTGTATCAAATGCCAGGATTATTATTTATTATTACGATAGGTGCTGAAAATGAGCTACAACAAAGTGGATGTGATAACAGGGAAGACATTCCGGGGCTTGAGGAGTGTACTGAGACTCCACGCTGACCACAACAGGATCAGGTTCATCCATCCGGGCGCGTTCTATGGCCTGACCTCCCTCAAGCTGCTCCACCTGGAGGGAAACCGCCTTGGCCGGCTCCACCCCAGGACCTTTGTCACCTTCTCCTTCCTGCAGTACTTTGACGTCTCGTCCATCAAACACCTTTACCTGTCGGACAATTCCATACGAAGCCTTCCTCACCGCATGTTCCGATCGATGCCCCAGCTTGAAAGTATCTACCTGCACGGGAACCCCTGGGAGTGTGACTGTCGGCTCAGGTGGCTGATGGACTGGGAGAAGGAGGCTGGAGGTACGTGGGCATGTTAGTGATACCATATATTCCTGATAGCTCGACCCTGGCTTAACTTGGTAGAGTTCTTGCCTGGCAAGCGAGAGGACCTGGGTTCGATTCCCGGGCAAGACGAAATGTTGGGCAAGTTTCCTTACTCCACACGCCTCTGTTTACCAGCAGTCAGTAGGAATCTGATTGTTAGTTGATTGGCGGATTGCTTTTACAGGAATGCTAATCCCTTAAAACAAATTATAAATAATAATAATTTGGTCACGACTGTTTGTGCGACGCTGCTGTGGGCAATTGGCTGCAGGTTTCGCCCATAAATTATATAGTCAATTTATTTTACAGTATATTCTGTGAAGCGCTTTGAGTCATCTCGAAGATGTGATAAGGCGCTGTGTCAAATGCCAGGATTATTATTATTATTACTTATCACTATATTTTTGTAACGTGTCCAGCGATTGGATGAAAGGAGACAGTCGGAGGGATGAAAAATCTCGGAACACTCGGAACAAGACCCTCATCCATTGCCGTACCTATCTGACCCGTTCGGACCCCCACTTCTCTGCCCATTCTCTTCGCTCAGCTAACTCTCTCACTCCAGTCCACGTGCTTTCAGTCACTACTTCCCTAAACTCTGTCCCTCCCTGCTTCAATCCCTCTGCCTTGCCCCCACCTCCCTCTTTGGCCATCTTCACATATGTCAACAACAACTTGCATTTATATGGGCGCATTTATATAGCGCCCTTCACGCAGGGTAGCGTGCTGGAGCACTTAGAGGCACCTCTAAAGACTTTCCTCTCTTACCACATTGACACATGAGGTGACATGTGCTCCGAGACCCCACCCCACAATGAAGTGAAAATTGTTGTTAAGAGAAATTAGATAAATTACTTTTAGGAAATAATATCTTGGGATAAAGTATATAGCTTGACAAGTGTGTAGAGAAACTATTTCTTCTGGTGGGGAATCCAGAACAAGGGGGCATAATCTTAAAATCAAAGGCCGGTGGGAATCTGGAACTCTCTCCCCCAAAAGGCTGTGGATTCTGTGTGGATCTATTCACATTGTCCAGACTGAGGGGGAGAGATGTTTGTCAGGTCAGGGGATCAGGGGATATGGGGCAAAGGCGGGTAATTGGAGTGGAGGTACAGATCAGCCGTGATCTTATAGAATGGGGGAACAGGCTCGAGGGGCTGAATGGCCTCCTCCTCTCCCTATATTTCTATGTAAGTGACTGCCAAAATGATGCAAGGCGAACTGGCTGGACCGTGGCCTTCTTCCTTTTAGCAAATCTTATTTATTGATTGACAAATGGTATTAATTTTGAGTGGTTTCTCCATCGACAGGTCCCGTGAAGTGCAAAAAAGACCGGACGTACGCCAGCGGGCACCTTTGCTCAGTGTGCAGCAAGCCCGAGCACTTAGCGGGGACGGAGCTTTCCAAACTGCGAGCCTCTGACGTGGAGTGTCGGAAACCCAGCATCCGGTCACCGCTGAAGAAGCTCAGCAACGTCACCGGCACCGGGTGGCGAGAGGAGGTCGAGACAGAGGACTTGGCTGAGCCAGACTATCGGCCTCTGACGGGGGAGGTAGCTATGAATCTAACAGACCGTCACGGGGGAAACAGGGTGGAGCTGAGGTGCCAGGTCACCGGGCCAGAGGAACCCGGCACACGGACCCGCTGGGAGCTCCCGGGCAATGGCGCTGTGGCTGTGAGGGTGAGCGTGAACCTGACGGTGGAGCTGGTTTGTGCAGTTGACTGGGAGCAGTTGTCGAGGGTGTGGACACTGATCGCTTATTACAGCGAGGAGGTGCCATTGACTTTACGGAGGGTCGACATGACGGAGAGTGGGGCGCGGTACTGGCAGGATGAGGGCACTGACTACCGCACGGGCGGCGTGAAGGCCGACTTACTGGCTCGACCGGCCTGGCTGATGCAGCCGTCGATGGCAATGCGGTTAGACAGGAGGCGCACCACGGGAAACCATGCCGTGCTGTCTCTGGCCACCTCGCTGTACCGGAGATTTACCGGCGCCGGTGATGATCTGGAGCTGGTGAAGCGGCCTTGGGTGCTGATCGGAGAGACCCTCACGGAGCACGTGGTGTTACCGGGGGCCATGTTGCGGCTGAACTGTCCAGCGGTGACCCCCACCTCCTCCTCATCCACCTCCTCCTCCACCGATTCCGGTGATGGACAGCCGAGCGTGGAGTGGACATTACCGGACGGCACCGCGGTGCGGGCTCCCTATGTCACGGCTGATAACCGGCTGAGCGCCACGGCGACCGGTCTGCTCACCATCAGGGCGGTGGATGGCCGCGACTCGGGCCCATATCGCTGCACGCGGCGGGTGGAGGGTGACTGGGACTCGGTGACGTACCGGGTGGCAGTGTTGTCGTTGGAGTCGGAGCCGACGTCGAGGGTGGAGAGGCCGGTGATGGTCCGCGCCCGGCCAGGAGAGGCCGTCTCCCTGCCCTGTGCCGCCCTCGCTGTGCCCGAGGCCCGGCTGAGTTGGCTGCTCCCTGACAACCGTGTGGTGTCGGCTCCTAACGGCACGCTGGAAGTGGAGGCCGGTTTGCGCGGCGGCCGCTACACATGCGTGGCCGTTAACCGTTATGGGGCCGACTCGTTCTCCGTGCGGCTGCTGGTGGACAAGCCCATCCGGCCCAGTCGGGTGTCAGGCCCCAGGGTCTTGGTGAGGCCCGTGCCCCGGGAGCGGGAGGGCTCGGGCGGGGAGGAGGCAGCGGCAGTGTTCGGCGAGGTCAGAGCCCAGCGCCGGGGTAGCACCAGGAGGTTACACAGGAGGCCGGGTGGCAACCTCAAACCCAGGCCCAGGTTTCGGCCTAGGCCTAGGCCCGACCCCAGGCCTGGGAATAGCTCGCGGCTCAGGGCAGCCGAGGGCCGGAGGCGGGTGGGTTGGGGGAGGAGGAGGAGGCCGAGCGGGTCGACGAGGAAGATCGATCCACAGCGCTGGGCAGACATTTTGGCCAGGGTCAGGGGGAAAGCAGCCTCAGAGGCCACTCAGGCCCCTCAGCCAGGGAAGGTGCCAGGCCCCGGGTGGGGGAAGGGGGAAGGGGAGGAAGGGTCAGGGGAGGGATTGAGGCTGTCTGAGGAGGGGTTGATGGAGGAGGCAGTGTTAAGAGGCCAAGATGGGCCGGAGGGCAGCGGTGAGGTTGGCCTGGGGGAAAGGCCACTGGGAGGAGGTGGACACGACACCAGGGTCATCACTAAACCAGCCGGGCACGGCAACCAGAGAGCCAGGCAACGTCCTGTGGCCTTTCCCGGTGCTACAACCCACCCGACCAGCTTAACCGGAGCTGCTACCACCATCGCCGCAACCAACAAAGACACAACTGGTCTAATCAAGCCTCCAACCACCGTCACCGGGACATCTACTAGTGTAACCGGGGTTTTCACCATCACGACTGGTACAACTCGACCAGCTACCACCGCGGCCGAAACATCTACTGGCATAATCGGGGCTGGCACCACGGGCACCACAACGGGTGGGATGACCAGCGTAACCGACGCTCCAACTCCCACCCCGGAGGTGGCTACCGAGCCTCGGGTCACTACGGCAGAAGCGCTTGCGGGTTTAGGGTTAAGTGGTACCACATCAGCCCAGACGCTCACGAGTCCAACCCCCTCCACAACCAAAGCATCTGCTGCCGTCGCTGGAGCCAAGGAAACCACCGCGGCTGCCGCTGATGCCATGGCAACGCCCCAGCTCAGGCTCCGCATCACCGCAGCATCTGCCGAACCCACCGGCCCCTCCGTCTCCCCGCCAGCTCTCACAGCCACCCTCAGACCCGCGGCCAGGGGCAACGGCGCCCGCCGCCTCCCCAGGAAACGTCTGCCCGGCCACAGGCGGTACCGGCCCAACAGGTACCGGCACAGACCACGGTTCCGCCCGGCAGCCAGGAGGACACCAGCGCCGCCACTGGGCACAATTGGGACCTCGGCAACAGCAGAGCCGGGGACTGCGTCAACGGCGGTGGTGACAGTGGGCAGAGAAACGCAGGGCTTCCGTGCCCAACCGGGGAGAGAGTCGCCGTCCGTGCCCCCCAGCAGCTCAGACCCACCTCGCCCGGTCACCGGGAGCTCAACGGCAAAACTCACCTCAACGGCAATGACAGCCCCGAGCTTCACCGCAACCAGCCGACCGGCAACGGCCAACGGCTCCCGGGGTCGGCCGCCCTCGGAGGCACAGAGCACTGCAAAGGGTGTCGTCGCCAATGTCTCTGAGCCACAGTCCCGGCCATTCCCCTCCTCCCCCACAGAACCGCAGCGGCGACCTCACCCCAGCCAGGTGTCACCGGGCGGCCGGGCTCTGGGCACCGCTCGCCCGGCACCTCTGCCGCGGTCGGTCACGTCTCCTGAGGCTCCGCTCAAGTCGAACGGCAGCACGGGATTCGCCGCTGGTGGCATCACTGGACCGCCGTGGCACGCGGGACCCACCGCGGTGACCAGTCTGCCTCACGGCACCGGAGACCCCGAGACCGAGGGGGTCGACCCGCCGTTTCCCCCGAACACATCAACTGCCCCCACCAGAGAGCTGCCAGTGATCGGGGGTGGGCTGGGTGGTGCTGCCCCAACACGGGAGGGTCAGACGGGCTCCACGAGGGGTCCTGAGCTTACACCCGGCACTAAGTCCGAGACGGACCCGGCGCCTGGCACCACGGTCCCCGAGATCGTCACAGGAAGAGCCGCCACCAATCCCCATCGTCAGATCCCGGGCACCGGGATTACCCCCCACCCTCTCACCACCAGCCCCAACGCCGGCACGAGGGGAGATCCCGAGACCACCCACCCGCTGACCGGCCACCCGCCCGCGAGCGATGCCCACACAGACCAAGGAGAGCGACGTCGAGGGGCTTCACAGATCCCACCCACGTTTGGCCGTGAAGACATGTCCACTACATCAAGACCGGTCCCCAGTCTTAGCGCTCCGAGAGAAAGCTCCCCCAGACCCCATGCCCCCAAAGAAAGCTCCCCCAGACCCCATGCCCCCAAAGAAAGCTCCCCTAGACCCCATGCCCCCGAAAAAAGCTCTCCCAAAGAAAGTTCTCTTGAATCGAGTTCCCCCAAAGAAAGTTCTCTTGAACCTAGTACCCCCAAAGAAAGTTATCTTGAACCCAGTACCCCCAAAGAAAGTTATCTTGAACCCAGTACCCCCAAAGAAAGTTCTCTGGAACCCAGTACTCCCAAAGCAAGTTCTCTAGAACCCAGTTCCCCCAACGAAAATTCTCTTGAACCCAGTTCCCCCAGAGAAAGTTCTCTTGAACCCAGTTCCCCCAACGAAAATTCTCTTGAACCCAGTTCCCACAAAGAAAGTTCTCTTGAAACCAGTTCCCCCAGAGAAAGTTCTCTTGAACCCAGTTCCCCCAGAGAAAGCTCCCCCAGACCCCATTCCCCCAAAGAAAGTTCCCCCAAAGAAAGCTCCACAAGTTCCCATTCCCCAAAGAAAGCTCCCTCATAGAAAGTTACCCTGGACCCAGCTCTCCCAGAGAAACCTCCCCCAGACCCCATTCCCCAAAAGAAAGTTCCCCCAGAGACAGCTCCCCTGGACCCACTTCCCCAAGAGAAAGTTCCCCAAAAGAAAGTCCCCCCAGACCCAGCCCCCCCAGAGAAAGTCCTGCCATAACAATCTCCCCCACCAGAAACACTCTCCCGCCCAGCGCTGTGGCCACGGCAACCACGCACTTGTACAGAGTCACGTTGCTGAACAGAAAGCCACCTCGTTTCCCCACGATACCTCAGGTCAGAGAGTCGATGGCTCACAAGTCCTCCAGAGGGTCTCAGCCTCTCCCCGGCCTCAGAGCAGCAGCAAAGGGCAAACCCAAGATTACCAGCAGACACCTCCACACCGTGTCCGTGCAGGCGGGCAAGGACGCCAGGCTTCCCTGCAGTGCCACCGGGGAGCCCAAACCGTGGATATCCTGGACCAAAGTGCCGACCGGTAAGAGAGAGTTTGGCCAAGAGAAATAAGGTGGACCTTTGTACGTCATGGAGACTCCTGTAGCTCAGTCGTTAGAGCACTCGCCTCGTAACCCGGGTTTGATTCCCGTTCAGGGCAAAACCTTAGGCAAGTTTCCTTACTCCACACGCCTCTGTTTACAGCAGTGAGTAGGAACCCGGTTGTTAGTTGATTGGCGGATCGTTTTCTGGGGGTAATAATCCCTTCACCCCAAAAATTGGTCACTCAATCCACGACTGTTTGTGAGACCCCGCTGTGCGCAATTGGTTGTCTGATTTTGCCCACAAAATTTACAGTCACTCCACTTTACAGTGTATCCTGTGAAGCGCTTTGAGACGTCTCAAAGACATGATGAGGCGCTATGTCAAATGCCAGGATCATCATTATTATTATATATTCTGTGTAACTTGAGGGTGGCTCAAACACAGCCAAAACAGGAGGTGATCAGCACCAAGAACACAGATTAAAACTAAACACTGCAGAAAGTGAGTGCTTAGGAGCACTTCAATCCGTGTCTTTGGGCACAACCATTGTAAAAATAATCTTCATAATAATATTATTGATAATAGTAATCCTTGTACTGTATTTGATAAAAATAGGTGCCAGCCTGGCTCAGTTGGTAGCGCTTTTGTCTCTGAGTCACAAGTCTTGGGCTCAAGCCCCCGAGTCTTAGCCGAAGGCGGCATCTCTGACAATGCAACACGCGCCCCCACTCCCCCCAGCACCGCACTGGAGCGTCAGCTTGGACTGTGATTCCAAGTCCTGACGTGGGGGCTTGAACCCACAACCTTCTGACTCAGAGGTGAGAGAGAGCGATACCCACTGAGTCAGAGTCATACAGAGGTTCCTGGAGACAATCGGGATAAAGCCAGAGACAAGATTTATACCACCAGAGATGTTTTGTTGGTTAAGCGCACAGTAATGAGCTTTCAAGCAAATACTTTAAACATCTGCGGCTTTTTAGAGGTTAAGAGCATTTCAATAGCGCAGACACGACAATCGTAAAAAGGATAAGCACAGAAGGAAGCTATTTGGCTCATCTTCTCTGTGCCAGGCTAACTCTGGCCTCCCCTCCCCTGCCCAATGTAGTGCAACCCACTGCTTAACACATACATCTGTGCAGTAGACCTTGAAAATCAATCCATGATTGAAGAATGAGCAGTCTTTCAATATAAACGTTGGCCAAGTTTCCTTACTCCACACGCCTCTGGTTACCCAGCAGTAAGTAGGAGCCTGGTTATTAGTCGATTGGTGGATCGCTTTTCCGGGAGTAATAAACCCTTCAAAAAAATTTGAAAAGATAATAATTTGGTCACTCGATCCACGACTGTGTGTGGGGCACTGCTGTGCGCAATTGGCTGAGATAGCGCTCTTGTCTCTTGAGTCAGAAGGTTGTGGGTTCAAGCCCCCAAGTTGGAGTCTTTGGAAACAGTCTAGTCTGAGGCTCCGGTGTAGTGCTGGGGGAGAGGGCTGTGTTCGGATGAGGTGTTAATCCCAGGTCCCGTCTGCCTGTTCAGGTGGATGTTAAAGATCCCGCGACGCTATTCGAAAAGAGAAGGGATTTCTCCCTCCCAGTGTCCTGGCCAACTATCCCCAGAATAGACTCAGTCACTCACTCCGTGGCTGTTTGTGGGACATTGTTCTGTGCACATTGCCTGCCATGTTTTACCCACAAAATACACCGTCACTCCACTTGACAGTATATCCTGTGAAGCGCTTTCAGATGTCTCAACGATGTGATAAGGCGCTATATCAAAAAGGCAACGATTATTATTGGACTTTACCGTTCTGTATATCCTGTGAAACACTTTGAGACATACCTCGAACTACATCGAATGCAAGAATGTAGGGTCTGTGTGTTTGTAGATGAACACGACAGTCAATTTTGCCCACACTAATGTCCCACAAACAGCCATGATGTGAGTGACCAATTTTACTTGGGGGATTGTCATCCCGGGACACCGGGAGAGAGAAACTCCCTTGTCTTTTACCAATAGTGCCATGGGAATCTTTAACCTCCACCGTCCTTCTCCATCAAGAAGGACGGCATCTCTGACAATGCAGCACTGCACTGGAACGTCAGCCTAGGTTGTGAGTTCAAAATCCTGACGTGGAGCGTGAATTTACGTCCTTCTGATTCAGAGGCACAAGTTCTAGTGACTGAGCTGAGCTGAGATCAAAAATAGAGAGAGAGAGAGAGAGAGAGAGACTGCTCAAATTAGAAATAAGAGGCCATATTGAAGATTTTCACCAGCAGAAACAAAAAGAGAGATCAGAAGATGTTTTCTAACGCACATACTGATAGTTGTCGAAAGATTATCCACCTTGTGGGTAGGGAAATGAACTGAATTAGCTCCAAGTTGAAATATCGGAATTGAGCCAACCCTCTGTGGCAATGGTTCTAGTTGGACAAGCAGCGGGAAAACTTGCCAGACAGCGACATCAATGGCAAGCTGTGAGAATTTAGCTGTTAGACTCTAGCAATTACGCCAACACACGCTCTGGGGTCCCCAACCTGGGCCTAATACTGTCCAGAATTAAATAAAAAGGATGCATCCCTCCAGAAAGAGAGAGAGAGAGAGAGAGTGTGCACGATGCATTCCTACAATCTGGTGGGATGCACAAAATTCTCAGTTCGGTTCAGACACTATATAGTATTGTGATGGGTTTTTGAGTGTGCAGGCACCCGTCCGACCAAAAAATCCCAGTCGGAATGTGGAATGCCTCACCACATATGTGTGTTGAAGCCAAGGCCATCAAAGTAATGAAAGTTGAATTGGATAAATACACAGTTTAATTGGAAAAAGAGAGGGGAGTGGAGTTAGACAGCTCCAGTGGGGGAGCGAGCACCGGCACAGACACAATGGGGAGGGAGAGAGAGAGAGAGAGAGCAGGGAATGGGGTTAGAGTAATAATAATAATCCTTACATTTGATATAGAGCTTCATCATGGCTCTGAGAAATCTCAAAACTCTTCACAGGATATGGTGTAAAGTAAATTGACTGTGTATTTTGTGAGCGAAAAACATCAGCCAATAGTACACAGCAGTGTCTCACAAACAGTCATGGATTGAGTAACCAATTTTTTATTTATGTATTTTTTGGAGGGATTAATACCCGCAGAAAGTGATCTGCCAATCGACTAACAAGCGGGATCCTACTTACTGCGGGTAAACAGACGTGTGTGAAGTAAGGAAACCTGCTTAAGGTTTCGCCCTGTCCGGCAATCAGACATGGGGAGGGAGCAAGGGGAGGGAGCAAGGAATGGGGTTAGAGTAGAGAGCTCCAGTGGGCGAGCAAACCCCAGCACAGACATGATGGGGAGAGAGAGAGATAGAGAGAGAGAGCACGGACTGGGGTTAGAGTAGAGAGCTCCAGTGGGGGAGCGAGCCCCAGCACAGACACGATGGGGAGGGAGCAAGGAATGGGGTTAGAGTAGAGAGCTCCAGTGGGGGAGCAAACCCCAGCACAGACATGATGGGGAGAGAGAGAGATAGAGAGCAGGGAATGGGGTTAGAGTAGAGAGCTGTGGTGGGAGACTGAGCACTTGGTGGCTGGAGGATTCACGCGGCTGTTTGTCTGGCAGGGGCAGCGATGACGGCAAACACCAAGACGCAGCGGTTCAAAGTCCTCCCCGACGGCAGCTTTGCCATCCGGGCGGTGGAACTGCAGGACCGCGGACAGTTCCTGTGCGCCGCCCGCAACCAGCACGGGGTGGACAAGGCTCTGGTCACATTGGTGGTGCTTTCCCAACCGCCCAGAGTCACGGTGCCCCGGCACAGAGAGGCTGCCGTGTACCTGGGGGCCACGTTCACCGCTGACTGCCGCGGAGAGGGTCTGCCTCCTCCCCGCATCTCCTGGCTGCTGCCGGACGGGGCCATGCTGTGGGCACCGTCCCCTCGCCAGGCCGGCCACTCCGCGGTGGTCCTGGCTAACGGCACGCTGGGCGTGACCGAGATCACCTTCTCGAACCGGGGGCTGTACAAGTGCGTGGCCGACAACGGCGCAGGGGTGGACGTGGCCACGGTGAGGCTGCATGTGTCGGCGTTGCCCCCCATCATTGGGCAGAGCAAGGTGGAGAATGTGAGCGTGCCCACCGGGAGGGGGGTACACGTGGACTGCACCGCCAAGGCCGCCCCTGCCCCGAGGATCCGCTGGACGCTGCCCGACGGGACCCAGATCAAACCCTCACAGTTCATCAATGGCAACATCTTTGTCTTCCCCAACGGGACGCTGTACATCAGGAACGCCACCAGCGCTCACAGCGGCCATTACCAGTGTCTGGCCACCAACCTGGTAGGTTTGGCGAGGAGGGGGGTGAGCGTGCGAGTGGAGACTCCCTTGGCCCCCGCCAGGATTATGGCCCCCTCCCCACACAGGGTGGATGTGGCGTACGGAAGCCCCTTACACCTGGACTGCGAGGCCACGGGAGACCCTCACCCCAAGATACTCTGGAGGCTGCCCACCATGAAGCTCGTGGATTCACGTTACAGGTAATAATCACAGAGATAATAATACACTAATAATAATAACAATAATAATAACAACAGTAATAATAACAACAATAATTATAGCAATAATAATAATAACAATAGTAATAATAACAGTAATATTAGCAATAATAACAATAATAATGACAATAGTAATAATAACAATAGTAATATTGATAGTAATTGTAACAATGATGATCATAATAATCTTGCATTTGGTGCAGCTCCTTATCAAGTCAGAAGGATGTCTCAAAGCGCTTCACAGGATTGATTGTCGGCAAACCTGGCAGCGCAGTTGCACACAGCAATGCCAGGAAATGAGTGTCCGGTTTTATTAGGGGGAATTGTTGGCCAGGACACCGAGAGAGAGAAACTCTCTGGTGGGCAGCCAATGTTTGTGAGGCTGATATCAGGATAGACGGGAGAGATTAGGCCATTTTTAGCTCGAGAGATGATGTTTGACAGGGGACCTCATGGAGGTGTTTAAAATTATAAAAGGGTTCGATAAGGTTAACATAAATAGGCTGTTCCCACTGGTTGGGGAATCTTTAAGCCGGAAACACAGTATAAGATAGTGACTAGGATCTAAAAGAGAATTTCGGAGGAACTACTTCACGCAGAGGGTAATGAGATTATGGGAACTCACTTCCCGAAGCAGAGGTTGAATCAGATAACAGATCTGATCCTCCTTGGCTCAAGTCAATGTCTTCTCTCCTGCGACTCTGACCTCTTCAACCTCCCTGGACTATCCTTGAGGCTTACCAAACCCGTACATGTGCCCACAGACAGTCACAAAGGGTAGCACTATGGGATCTTTAACAACCATTTGAACAGGCAGATGAGACCTCAGTGCAATGTCCCGTGTGTACAGTGCTTGGGTTAGACCTTGTCACCGGCCTGGCTTTAGAGATAGTGAGAAGTAGAGCAATGAGGATGGTCCCCGGTGTAGAGGAGTGATTGACGAGCAAGGTTTAGACCAGTTAGGGCTATTTAATCTTGAGAGAAGACAAAATACACAAAATGTATTTTGTGGAGGGGAGGGTGGGTGTCCTGGAGGGTGGAGATTCGATGGGCCAAAGGTTCTTCTTCATCCAAACCAATCTTGTGATCAGGTGATAATAAAAAATAATAATCCTTGCATTGGTTATCGCGCCTTATCACGTCTTTGCGATGTCTCACAGCGCTTCACAGACCATACTGCAAAGTGAAATGAGGGTGAGACGCGGCAGCCAATTTGCGCACAGCAGTGTCCCACAAACAGTCGTGGATTGAGTCACCAAATTCCCATTAATATTTTATTTTTATTTTTTTTGGTGGGGTTAATACCCCCGGAAAAGCAACCCATTAATCAACTAACAACCGAGTTCCTAGTTACTGCTCAGTAAATTTACCGCCCAACTCAATGCTCCATTTGTTTCCTCCCTCCACCCCCCAACTCTCTCTCTCTCTCCCCCCATCTCACGAAGTCACGACGACAGAATCAAGGTGTTCACCAACGGTACGCTCTCGATCGGCGTGGCCACAGACAAGGACCGCGGTGATTACCTGTGCGTGGCCAGGAACCAGATGGGTGATGACTTCCTGGTACAGCGGGTTGGGGTAGCCATGGCTCCGGCCAAAATCCGGCATAAGTCAGAGACAGCCCGGCAACAGGTCACCTACGGCAAAGACCTCCGTGTGGACTGTGAGGCCTCGGGCTTGCCGGACCCCCAGGTTTCCTGGGGCCTGCCGGACGGCACCACCGTCAATAGCCTGGCCGGCCGGAGCCGGCGATATGTGGTGTTCGGCAACGGCTCTCTGTACTTCAACGAGGCCGGGCCCAAGGACGAGGGGGAGTACACGTGCTACGCGGTCAACCAGATCGGCAAGGACGAGATGCGAGTGAGCGTCAAGGTGGTGTCTGAGCCCCCCACCATCCGGGGAGATGAGGGGCCGGCGGTGCTGGAGGTGCCGTACGGCGAGTCCTTCTCCCTGCGGTGTGAGGCCAAGGGGCAGCCACAGCCCTGGCTCGCTTGGTTTTCACCGTTCAACCGTTACATCCCACCCTCGTCCGCCAAATACCGGGTGGGCAATGACGGGACCCTTCTGGTGAGGGACGGGCAGAACACAGACTCCGGTAACTACACGTGTGTGGCCAGGAACGCTGCGGGCGAGGGCAGGCGGGTGGTGACCGTGAGAGTGAGAGCGGAGCCGCCTCGGATCGTCGTCGCAGATCGGCGTCTCTTCTCGGGGGCTGTGACGGAGACAGTGTTGGCCGGTGCCCGCAAGCTGATCGACTGCCAGGCGGAGGGCGTGCCCTCTCCCAGGGTGACCTGGCTCCTGCCCGGTGGAGCGCCGGCCACGCTCACCTCTCACCGCGATGGAGGGAGGGTCACGGTTCACGCCAACGGTACCTTGGACATCCGGAATGCTGGGAGGATGGACGCCGGACGGCTGATGTGCCTCGCCAGCAATAAGGCGGGCAATGCCAAGCTGACAGTGGAGCTGGAGGTGGTGGAGGAGAAACCAGCGGTGAAGCCGTCGTTTGCCGACTCGCCTTCCTCAGCCGGTGTGATCTCGGCAGCCACCGGGGGCAGCACCGTGCGGCTAGACTGCTCCTCCCGGGGCAGCCCGGCTCCCGACACGGTCTGGTACCTGCCGAGTGGCGAGCGCCTGGCAAGCGGGCAGCGTCTGGGCAAGGCTCACCACGGGGCCAACGGCGAGCTCCACATCAGCCAGCCCACCGCGGCCGAGGCCGGCAAGTACCGGTGCGTGGCCAGGAACGTGGCCGGCTCGGCCGAAAGGCTGGTGACGCTGGAGATCAGTCAGGAGCCGGAGCCGCGGAGCCACTACTCAGGGCTGGTGCGGGTGCTGAACGGTGAGAACATGCGGCTGGACTGCGCGGTGGGCGGGGGCCGGGGCCACGCGCGGGTCACCTGGATCCTGCCAAGTGGCACAGTGCTCAGCCGCCCGCAAAGCCTGGGACGCTTCTCCCTCCTACGCAACGGCTCTCTGGCCGTGCGCCACGCCTCGGTGTACGATCGCGGCACCTACCTGTGCCGGGCGTCCGAGGGCCCGGGCGCCCCTCATGCCAGGGTGCCCGTCATCGTGGTGGCTTACCCCCCCCGCATCACCACCGGCCCCGCTCCCGTCACCTACGCCCGGCGGGGAGGGGGCGCCGTGCGGCTAGACTGCGCTGCCACCGGGACCCCCCCGGCCGAGGTGAGCTGGGAGCTGCCGGGCCAGGGCCGGGTGACCTCTGCCAACCGTGGCCGACTGGTGGGCAACAAGTACCTGCACCCCCAGGGGGCGCTCGTCATCCAGAGCCCCACCTCCGGCGACACCGGCTTCTACAGGTGCATCGCCACCAACCTGCTGGGCAGCGACGTCAAGACCACCTATGTCCACGTCTTCTGATTGACACGGCCAATCGTTTCACAGCGTTCGTTACCCCCGTTAACCCTAACCCCACCATCTCGCCCCCCCCCCCCATTAAAGGGCATCTCAATGATCTTCGGGCAACTGGTTCGGACCCCCTCAAACCAGCTTGCTCTCTCTTCCCCCACCCCACACACACATACCCCCCCACACACACACCCCTCCCCACATACACACCCCACACACACACCCCCCGCACACATACAACACACCCAATACACACGCCCCCCCCCACACACACCCTCACCCACACACCCCACAGACGCACACACACCCCCCACACAACTCACGTCCCTGACGCTCCAATGCTGTGGTTGGCGATAGTTGAAGTGTGGGAACGTCAACAGCCAAATTAAAAAAAACACAAAATTCGATTTATGAAACGCTATTTATCTTCCCTTAATATCGTTACCAATTAAAACCCTTCCCCGACGTAAACTACTGCGCGCTGCAAATGTTGTGGGTTTTTTTAAACTATCAGAGGCCCCACTCATGGTTTTTTTTCTTAAATTATATTAAATTAAGAAAACCAAATCAAACTTAAGATGGCCGTGGCTTTGCTGTCGGGGATCTCTAGAATTTTCTTTTCGGGGGGGAAAATAAAATGGAGTTTCATTTTTCGAGAGAGTGAGAGAGAGGAAGAGAGAGAGTGAGACAGATCATAGGGTTTGGAGTACAAAGATTTGCAAAGACTGTACTATACTCCACACCAGTCTCCCCCCATTCCTTACCCCCCTCCCCCACACCCTTCTATTCCCCTCTCCCTCATGTGAAGGTCTAGGATCCTCTTGAATGTATCTACGCTATTTGATTCAAATTAAGATTTTTTACTGAAACTGGTACGTGGGGAGGTTTGACTTTGTACAGTGCGTAACGTAACTTTTTGGAGTGAGAAACGTATTTCAGAACAGATTTGGTTAATCATCGGCTATTACGTAAAATGACATTGATTTACATGGATCTTTGCAACATGGAAACAGGTCATTCAACCCAAGTAGTGTGTGCCGATCTACATTCCCCCCTCCTACATCCCTCTACTCTCCTCTCCCAGACCCCTATTTCTATTTCTCTCTCCCACATCCCTCTATTCCCCTCTCCTATATCCCTCTATTCCCTTCCCCCTCAATCTGCATTGAGTTTCCTCTTAAACACATTGACATTTTCTGCTTCTACCATATTCTCACCAGCCTCTGTGTGAAGAAGTTCCTCCTAAACCCGCTGTTAGATCTGTTACCCACTGCCTTATCTTTATACTCCTGTTCTGGCCTCAGTAACAAGTAGAAACAGCCTATTAATATCCACTTAGCGAATTCTTTCATAACCTTAAACACTTCTTACAGGTTCTCTCCAAAGCTCCCAATAATAATAATAACCCCTTCAAAAAAAAAATTAATAATTTGGTCATTCAATCCACAACTGTTTGTGGGACGCTGCCGTGCGCAATTGGGCTGCCGCATTTCACCCCAAAATATACAGTCACTTCACTTTACAGTGTCTTCTGTGAAGCGCTTTGAGACATCTCGAAAACCTGATAAGGCGCTGTATCAAATGTCAGGACTATTATTATTATTAATTCCCAGCTCTGCCCCCACATCCCTTACTATTATTTACTGTTCAGATCCTCACCCAGTCCCTTCAGAATAATTGGTTGATTGATTGATTGATTGCTCTATTGATTGCTCTATTGATCTCAGTTTGAAGAGTGACTTGTATTGACCTGCACGATTTAACAACCCCTCCGCTTGGTGGGGGCAACCGGTCTTTCACAATCAGATGAAATAATACAAGGTTCCAATATCTCTTAGGAAACGTGTCATTTCCTCACCCGTCTATAGGGATAGTGAACTCACCAGTGTATATAAACCGGTCCCATTATGATGTCTCTCTTTTCTGTTCCACGTTGCTGTGGGTTGTTCATCTCTGAAAGAGTTCAAACTATTTTCAACTCTCTCTCTCTGACAGCGACACAGTTTGTACCAGTGGGTGGGGGTGGATGTGGGTGGGTGGGTGGAGGGTTGATGTGGGTGGGGGGGATTGGGCGGGAATGGGAGCACAGTCGCTGATTTGCACCAGGCAGTGAAATCATTTTAATCGTGACATCCCACTCCAGTGGTCTCTGCTTCCACAATGATCCTCATGTTCGACATGGCATTTCTCATGTTCAAAACATCTCAGTGCACTTCACAGGGCTTTGTTATCAAGTGTAGTGACTTATATTTGTAGGTGTAATGCATGTGGCAATCTTTTTACACACATCAATGCCCCTGCCCGATACAGTCATGAAGAGAATCACCTTTACCTGGGGGATTGTCGGCCAGGACACCAGGAGAGAGAGAGAAACTCCCTATCTTTATCAGTCTCCTTTATAACCCCCACCCACCCTCGCTGGAATGCTTAAAGGTCCCTCTGACTTCAAAGGTCAAGGGCAAAGCCACAATCAATCCGGGTTGAAGTTTGTGTTATTTCATTCTATTGCGCCCCAATAGAATATTTGCATTCACAAGTCCAATTCTCTCTCTCTCTCCCATCCTCACTCATTCGTCTCTTCATTCCCCCCTCCCCCACACACGGGCGCAAAAGCCCACCTGCCCGTCCCATCCTAGTCGTGGCAAATGACATCCTGTTATGTTTCAACTCGTTCAATCACTTAGAAAAAAGGTTGGGCGAGCGAGTCGTGGAGATCTCAATTATGAATTTGCACTTGAATTGCCTCGAGTTGGCACACACCTAGTGGCACATGTAAATTAAAGCCTCCCTTTCTCCCCCCCCACCCTTTATTTGTATAGTTATGTTTCTACTGTTAAGTCATCCAATATTCTGTACATCTTGTAATAAAGGATATTTTACCACAAGCTGGTTGTGAAGGAAGTCATTGGTATTATTATCATCATCAATAATCATTAATAAGCCTTGCATTTGATACAGCGCCCTATCAGGTCAAGAGGACACCTCAAAGCAATTCACGGGATTACACTTAAAGCACAGCGACAATTTTCTCACTGCAACGTCCCCGCAAACAGCCACAACGGACACGTGAGACTGATTTTATCTGAGGTATTGTTAGCGAGGACACCGAGAGAGAGAAAATCCCTTATTTCTAATTGCGGAATCGTTAACCCGTCCCCACCCGCCTTCCCTCCAACTGAACAGGCACAGACGGGGTTTTAAATGACACATAATAATAATAATAATAATCCTCACATTTGATACAGCGTCTTATCATGTCTTTGAGGCGTCTCAAAGTACTTCACAGGATACACTGTAAAGTGAATTGACTGTGTATCTTGTGGGCGAAATGGTTTATTACCCCCTGAAAGCAATCCACAACTTGACTAACTACCGAGTTCCTACTGACTGCTGGTAAACAGAGGCGTGTGGAGTAAGGAAACTTGCCTAAGGTTTTTCCCTGCCCGTTAATCAAACCCAGATCCTCTCGCTTGCGAGGCGAGGTCTCTAACCACTGAGCTACAGGACTCCACATCCGATGAACAGCATCGCCATCAACTAATGTTGTTCCATGACTTCAATGGAATGTCGGCCAAGACTATTCTGAGCTCAAAGTCCCAACGTGGGGGCTTGAACCCACATCTTCTGACTCAGAGGCGAGAGAGCTACTGCTGAGCCAGTCCGACACATTACATTTATGAGGAAAAATGTATAATTTGGCTTCCATAACACTTTGTGAACATGTAATTGCAGCTGTGAAAATATATTCATTCTTAACAAATTCCTAACACTTTATGAAATCAACAGAATGTGCAATAAATGGAAAGTCAGCTTACGTCCAATCGACCCTATTAGAATCTTAGAAGGTGTGAAATATATAAAAACAGAGCGGAAAAGGTCCATTTCTGACATTTCTGCTTCTCTTCTTACATTGCTGGCTCACAGTCTAGGCTGATGCTCCAGTGCAGAGCTGAGGGAGGACTAAATTGGCGGAGGTGCCATCCTTCGGACCAGATGTTAAATTGAGGCCCCATCTGGGTCTGTTCTTGAGGGTGAATGTCAACAATAATTATTCTTGCGTTTGATACACCGCCTTTCACCTTACCAACCTGCCCACTCCCTCCGCTCAGCAGGCTCTGGCCCGCTCCATGTCCCCCTTCCCTGCCTGCCCCTCCATTGGCAGTTGGGCCTCCAGCTTTGCTGCCCCAACTTCTGGAACTCCAGCCCAAATTCCCTTCACCTAGCCTCCTCCCTTGCCATCTGAAGATCCTCCTTTTTGATAAGCCTACGGTCACTTCTATCCTCCCTACCCTCCACCCCTCCTGATCCTACCCCCCAGCTCAGGTCCAAATCCCTGACTGTCCAGCTCCTTGGGATGTCCTCCTGATGTGAACGGTGCTATACAAACGTAATGTGTTGTTGTTGTTGGATTGACTGTGTATTTTATGGGCGAAACGCGGTAGCCATTTGCGCACAGCAGTGTCCCACAAGCTGTCGTGGATTTTGTGAGGATTATTACGCCCGGAAAGAGATCTGCCAATCGACTTACAAACAGGTTCCTACTTCCTGGTCAGTAAACAGAGACGTGTGGAGTTAGCAAAATTGCCTAATAATAATAATAATCCTTGCACTTGATATAGCGCTTTTCACGTCGGGAGGACGTACCAAAGCGCTTCACAGAACACACTGTAAAGTGAATTGACTGTATATTTGTGGGCGAATGCGGCAGCCAATTGCGCACAGCAATGTCCCACAAACAGTCGTAGATTGAAAATGACCAATTTATTATTGTTTTTGGTTTTGGAGGGATTATTATTAGGCTCTGTGTGGAGTAAGGAAACTTGCCCGAGGTTTCGCCCTCTGCCTGGAATTGAACTCAGGTCTCTCGCTTGCAAAGCGAGTGCTCTAACCACTGAGCTACAGGACTCCACTAAGGTTTCGCCCTGCCTGGGGTTCAAACCCAGGTTCTCTCGCTTGTGAGGCGAGGGCTCTAATCACTGCGCTACAGGACTCCTAATAGTGAGGCCATGGCAGGATTTTAATGATGAGTATCTTGAATTTGTATCCAGTGATTCCAATGCTTTCGAGTGGACGAGTGCCGTTGAATGCGGTCTGCACAGGAACAATGTACATGGACAAACTCAAGCGTCTTTGAAGATAAAGGAATCCAGCTGCGTTCGATG